GTTTCGGGTCCGGTTGGAATGTGATGAAGTAGGTTTTGCCATCACAGCCTTCCTGGCCTGAGCTGAGTTTTGCATTCATCGCAAACGTTTTTGGTATCCGTCTGTTTCGTTGTTGCCATTGTTGCCACCACGTCCCGTGAATGTGAGCCACGGTTGGTGATACCGAAAGCCATCACCGGGTACACATTCATGAGATGAGCGAGCTCTATATTTGCTGCGTCGTGAGTGCCGTTGTTTTTGTTGTTCATAGTGCATTGCGCCTACTAGGTATGACGGGTGATTTTGATCATCGGATTCTATCACAGTCCTACCTGGCAGATGTAATGTTCACTTATCGATTGCTTGTTACGTTTGTGCTGTCCTCCTCTATGATTCCCTCTAGGTGTCGTGTTCTTTTCGACATTCAACGACATTTTCGCCCACTTCTACGTCGCTTGGGTTCCAGTGTTAGATGTCCACTTTGTGGTTTAGGATTCGTGCAATTTGTACGATGTACCATATTGCACTTGTTCTAGGCCTAAAAGTGGTGACATCATCGATCACTCCTTTCGCCGACCGACTGTGCCGTACAACACAACGTGGCTTTCGTTGGTGGTCGCACAAGACAGCCGCTCCGGACAATAGCCTCATCAGCCTGGTGTTCGTCGGTGGCGGTCGGGTGACTTGTGATATTTCGTCTCGTCTAATATCACAGTCAACCTGCTGTCACGGCCGGCACTGAATACAACGTCTGTCACCGAGTAGAGTGAAGCTGATCCAAATCTGAAGCGTGATTGCAGACTGTGGTATATATGCATTTCAAATTATGTGTAATTGCACATATGTCACAGGCCTGCTTTCACTTTCACTTTCGAATCTTTCAAACCATCTTCTGAATGTGTCTTGCTGCGGCTGTGCTTTTCGTCACTACCACTGTTATTGTGCTTGCGACGTTAATGGGTGTGACTCAAGTCCATGCGTTAAAAATGTTCATGACTAGATTCACACTCATCACTGTCTTCAGGTCAGTGCCCAGTTTTTTTGCTACTTGTTGCTACAATGTGTCGATATCTGAACGCAAGCAACAGAGGCTCCTGCACATCAATGCCTGATCGTGAATGGGTTCTTCGGTTATGCATTTATACAACATCACCGGGTTCACATTCATGATTTTTGCATCGTTTTCTCGTCCGGATCAGTGCCTACCGTGCCGCCGTTGCGTCCACCAGCTGACTCGTAGGCTTAGTCGGTGCTTAACGCTAGATATTGAAGCTTTGGCACTTTCTAGGCCTACCGCTAATGCTGATTGCGTCGTGAAAGAATCAAAAATCATTTTTTACCCCTTATTTCGTATATTGCATATTTTTAATAAAATTGAATAAAATGTCTATCAATCCACTTCGTGTACGATTGTTAATCGTCCCTCGAGTCTCCTGCGATGGGGCGCAATTGCTAAAATATGTACGTCAATGAGTGAGCGTAAATGTTTATGACCAACTAAAACATGAAGTACAAATTTCGAGAAAAACAATTAACATTTTAAAAATACTCGTTTAAATTAGACCAAACTGGCCATTGACTTACGCTGGTTGGTCTGCAGCGAAAATTAATATTGGGTACATATCAGTGATTGATAAAATCACTAGATCTAGCCTTCGAGCTGCGAAAATACTGCCCTGCAGATACAACGCTTTCCATAATATAGAGAAGAATTTTTTAACAGGTTTGACAATTGTCGTATCAAATTTTAGTAGTAATACTATAATATCAGTAACAGTTAATTTACAGAAGCTAAATATTTTCTCTCTGACTAATACACCTAATTCCTCACCACCTGGGAGGAAAATTGGTTTTTTTTCATAAATTAAAAACTCAGATGCACGATAACGATAATTACTGTGTACGCTTTTATGTAACAAAATTTTGACAGGTAATGTTTATGAAATTAAAAGATTTTCAAATTTGCTTACCTAACTGAAACTGGAAAGATGAACTTCGTATCAAAATTCTTAATTCGTACCGAATATTTAGGGCAGAATTTCTTACTCTTTGCATTCCGTTAAAGTTTTTTGCAATTACTTTAATCGTAATCATTTACTTCTGTATCCCGTTATATGAACATCACTTAATCGCTGATAATTGGATCAGTCGAGTTTCATAACGTTAATCTCGTACCAATAGGTGATTTCGTTAACAGAATTATCCCTTTGCTAACCAGCTACTCTTACCACGGTTGCTGGATGATCCCCGTATCAGTGAGACAAGTATGGTCGCAATCCCGATGGCACTGCAAAAAGGCTACTACACCTATGTGAACCATATGCGTACGATGTCAGCTTCGTGTCTGTGAGAAGGGAAACCCATTAATGACATTGCTGGACAAGGCAGGGGATTTGGCACCGCCGCTAGTACATACCGAATCAGTTTGTATAACAAAATTTGTGTACCTTTAAAGTTACAGATGAGCGGTCACAAGGAGGGGTGACAACCATTTTGAGTGAATTTTTTTCATAAAGTCGTCTACCTCTGAAAAATGGACAACGAAAAGTGGGCAAGACCAAGACAAGATTCAATGTTCAGTGTTTGGCACAGAGAAATGCAGAAAAGAGACTACTCAGTCCCACGAATGGTCAAAGCTTGGAAAATTCAGGCAAAGACTCAGCCAAGAATTATCGTCGCGTCCTTACGTAAGCAAATTAAGAAAACTGGTCTGCTAATTGTAAGCCGGTTGTTATTAGTTTAAAGTTTAAACGAACCTTAATCTGGCATTTCAGGTTCTCGTCTACGACCATTGCTCCGGCGGAATTATCGAATACTCCACAGTAGTTCGGGGCGCTGAACAGAGTCACCAGGCGTCCATCAGCGAAAAATTCGAAGCCATTTGGGACGACCTGCATGAGCATTGTCATTCGTGAGAAGCGAGATGCCTAGTCGCAACAGTCTCAGTTACCTGGTGAGCCCTGGCAATGAGGTCTACGCCCATGTTCTGGCAAAACTCTGTTACGACGTCGGGGCCAAAGAGGTAGCTGACTCCGCGGTTGCTCCGCTTCCAGCCTGCAAAGGCAAGCAAACTTCAGTA